TGTTATATTCCAACTTTTGGTTGGTAATCCCCAGCTTAGTCCCGACCTCTGGGTTGGTCTTCTTTGTTGATGATCCCAACTTTTGGTTGGTAGTCTCCATTTTTGTGTGTTTGCCTTTGATCGGTGTTTGGGTGATCTTAACTTTTGGTTGGTAGTCTGTTGTTTCTTGAATGTTATCCCAACTTTGGGTTGATAGTTCTTGTTATTCCAACTCTTGGTTGGTATTATTTCCCCTACGTAGTCGTTATCCTAACTTTTGGTTGGTATTCTTTGTTGTGGTAAGTTCTCCTTCGTTCGACATTCCGGTGATTCCAACTTTTGGTTGGTATAGCTTTGTTGACGATTCCAACTTTTGGTTGATAGTATTCCTTTCCGATGATTCTAACTTTTGGTTGGTAGCCTTTGTTTGACTCCAAATTTTGGTTGGTATAGCTTTGTTGACGATCCCAACTTTTAGTTGGTAGTCTTCCTTTCCGGTGATTCCAACTTTTGGTTGGTAGCATTTGCTTGATTCCAACTTTTGGTTGGTATACCTTTGTTGACGATCCCAACTTTTAGTTGGTAGTCTTCCTTTCCGGTGATTCTAACTTTTGGTTGGTATAGCTTTATTGACGATTCTAACTTTTGGTTGGTATAACTTTATTGACGATTCCAACTTTTGGTTGGTAGTCTTTGTTTCCATGTTGACGATTCCAACTTTTGGTTGGTAGTCTTCGTTCCGTGTTGATGATCCTAACTTTTGGTTGGTAGTCTTCTTTTGTGATTTCAACTGTTAGGGGTTGGTATCTTTCTCTGCAGAGTTCGCCTTCGGTCGATGTTATGGTGATTCTAACTTTTGGTTAGTAGCCTTGTTGCCCAACTCTTTGTTGGATGTTATTCCCTTGCAAAGTCTTCATCCCAACTTTTGGTTGGTAGTCTTCATTTGTGGATCCAATTTTGTTTGGTGTTCAAGTGATTCCAACTTTTGGTTGGTAGCTTATGTTTATACCTTCGTTGAATTCCAACTTTTGGTTGGTAGTTTGTGGGTGATTCTAACTTTTGGTTGGTAGCCTTTGCCCTTCATTCCAACTTTTAGTTGGTACATTCCCCACTGAAGTCTCCATTTTCTTAGAGCTTTCTAATTTTTGGTTAATGCCCTTCCCCATCAGATTGCTTTCAGTCAGTGCCCGGGTGATTCCAACTTTTGGTTGGTAGCCTTTGTTTATCCTGACTTTTGGGTTGGTATTCTTGTTTGTTTGTTCCCTAGGGAGTAGCCTTTATTCCAACATTTGGTTGGTATGTTTGGTTGTTATTTTATCCCCCTGAGGTCGCCTTCGGCCGGTGCGCCAGTGATTCCAACTTTTGGTTGGTAGTTGTTGTTCATCCCGCTTTTGGTTGTTATATTTGATTGATGTTTATCCCCTGCAGAGTTGTCTGGTTAGGATTCTCTTCTTCCCCAACAGAGTCTTTTTCTCCCCAGGTTGAAAGTCTGTTGATTATACTTCCTGCGTACCTTGATTTGAATGAAAGCTTTTTGTGAAACTCAAACAAAGATCACAAATAGACTAATAAAGAAAGAAAGACACACAATATATCTTGGTTCATTTGAAAACTATCAAGCTAATTCAGTCCACCCACCAAGGTGATTTTGCCTTATACACAAAGACTTAATCCACTATAACCAACTGATTACACTGCACTAGCAACCTCTGGTGACTAATAACACAGATAACCGTCTCTTCTTAAGGATTCTAACCCAACTGGTCTCTTGAGGAATTTCAATATGCACAAGCAACCGCTGGTGACTAACAACAAAGACTAACCATCTCTTCTTAAGGATTCTGACCTAACCGGTCCCTTAAGGAGTTACAAACAACAGTTTGAACAAAGATGTTTATAATGAAATTACTTCTAAACAAGCAGATATAAACACTATTAATAGCTCAAATGTCTTAAAGACACTAATACAGTATGAACAATATTCTTTCTTTGTATTGTGGTGCTTTAATACTGTAGCTTCGGTTCTTCATATATTGCTTTCAATCAAAGTGTAACCTTTATATTAATCATTGTAAAGCTTCTTTTTTTTCTTCAAGTAATCAAGTCCTTATATAGCCAAAAAAAGATCCGTTGGAGGGAAGGTTGAGAATATCCTTTAGGTAGCTGGCGACTTGAAATAATGTCGTTACACAGGGATGAAAATCGTACACAAAAGTTATTCTTTGTACCAACAAATCAGGGTAGTGGAATGGTAGTGGAATAAGACGTTAAAACGTACTATGTACTATTTTCCCTCGTAGATGTTTGAGCTTCTCTTCTTTACATCAGAGGCTTCTGAATATAGATGATTAAAGCATGAGTAGAAGAGTTGATCAGTAGGTCTTCAGAGTCTTGAGTCTTCAGAGTCTTCAGAACTTGTTCACCAGAACTTATCTTCAGAACTATAAGCACTCAGTCTTCAGAACCTTTGGTCACTAGTAACTTAAGTCTTCAAAGTCTTTAGAACTTCATTCAGCAGAACTTTATCTTCAGAGTCTTCATCACTTATTCTTCAAAAACATAAGTCTTCAAAGTCTTTAGAACTTCGTTCAACAGAACCTTTTCTTCAGAGTCTTCAACACTTATTCTTCAGAAAATCAAGTCTTCAGAGTCTTTAGAGCTTTGTTCAACAGAACCTTATCTTTAGAGTCTTCAGTACTTAGTCTTCAGAAGATAATGACTTCAGAAGCTTGAAAGCCTTCAGAAATAAAGTACCAGAGTCATGATCAGAAGCAGAAACCGAGAGAGCATTGAAGTAGCAACATATTGTCTTCTTAGAGTCTTTCGGAGTGAGAGAAGATCAGAAGCGAACTTTCTTCTTATAGCGTAAAAGCGACTTGGTTCAGATCAGAGTAATCGTTGAATATGATCACTATCAGAGTCAGAACATGCTTGTTAATTCTTCAGAAAAATAAACGTTAGAGTACCAAAATTGTTCTCACTCAAATACCACTTTATTACTATCAAAACTTAAAGATATCTTGCAGAACCAAATCTTGTTCTAATAGTTACTTCCTTAAAACCTTAGGTACGAATTCCTAGAGTTTAAACGACCAGTTATTGTAAACGTTGATTTAGGAAAGAATGAATCTGAGCGACTACTTGTTATGCTAAAGAAGTACCCAGAAGCAATAGGATACACCATAGGTAACCTCAAAGGAATCAACATTTCAAAGTGTATGCAAAAAATTATGCTCGAAGAGGATTATAAACCCTTTATAGAACATCAAAGAAGACTGAACCTGAACACAAGCAACGTAGTGAAAAAGGAAATACTAAAGCTTCTAGATAAATTTAATCCAGTTTATTATTTTTTTTCTGCAAATATACGACTATGTAGTGATGATATAAAAGATTTTTCGCATACATACTCTTTTTAACATACCGCTATCTAACGTTTATTAATTAGTATAAAAGATTTTTATTTTTGAATCCACATAGACCAATTACAATTACCGCTATTTTTCGTTTCTAGATATCATCACAACATCCTCTGTTAAAAAGAGTATGTATGATTATCAAGATGATCACTCCTAACTTTGCTAGAGCTTCCACTTCTCATCCCAACTCTTTTAGATCAGTCTCGTGAAGTGTCAAAGCTTGGTTATTATGATGTGTTCAACTCTGAAAGTAAAGAAGAGAATGATGTTGTTATTGAATCCGTCTTTAATAGTGATTCTCCTACTTCGTCACTTTGATTTAGTTTGTTTGAATTTTTGAATTGTTGACTTTTTGTTGGGTTGTTTGAATATTTTATCGCTTAATTTGTTGGTTTTATATCATCCTTCTATTTTAACTAATAGTTACTGGTTTGCACTTGACCCTTTTGAGGCAAATAAGAGAAGAAGAAGAATTTATGTGTTTACAATTTTTGTTTGGTTCTGTTATTTGAATGCCTTTTGCATCTTGGTTATTTATCTTTTTTTTTTTGCCTTATTAGATGATTGTTATGATAGAAGTGTTCAAATTCTCGTTTTTCCTAAAATTAGACAAAAGGGGAGTTTGTTATTACATATGAATTGACTTATTTTTATCACAAAATGTTAAGTAAAATGTCACGTAAGTTGTTGAGACATCTTGCCTCCGTTATTCATTTTGTTCGATTTCATATTCTGCGTGATCTTTTAGGAAAAAATATATCTAGACCGTATGTTACTTTTTTCTAGATTTTGCATGATTTGTTAAAGATTGGATATGCTATTGATTTGTTTGTGAAAATCTAATCGGCCTGCTATTTGAATTGACTATATATAAAGAGAATAAAATTATACTTGTAGTGAATGTTTTACTAATTAAGAAACAAAGTGTGTCTTGATTGTGTTCTAATTGGCCTTTTTTTTTTTTTTTGGAAGACAAAGTTGTGGTTTTCTTTTGTGAAACTTATCACATCTTATTGAAGATTTATAAATATTTAGAAGAGTATTTGAGTGCAAATGAAAAGATCTTAAGTTCATCGAAGACTAAGTTAAAATTTACGTGTAATATTAGAAAAATGAATTTCCTTTTTACTGGGCTATTGTCTTCCAAACATTAGTGACAATTTCAAAAAATATGAGTTAATAATTTATTGGGTGTTTATTTATTATTTTATTTAATGATTCATCTATTATTTCAGACAATCCTATATCACTCATTGATTCAACGTTGTGCGACACCTTGTCTCCGATTAAACAAAATTCCAGCTTAAATTGAAATTTAAGTGTTGAATTTGTTCTCATGGCCGATCCAAACATAACACATTCTAAATTATTTAGCCATCACATAAAACTATTGTTTTAAAACATCTACAATTTAATTTAATTGTTAAAGCATAGAAGAAAATGTCTCGTACACAGAACAACACTTCTATATTACGAGCACATAATAGTAATACATATTTTTCTTCATAGAACTTATAAATTATATGCGGATATCTTAAATATAATAGGCTTTAATTGACACAACGATTATATGACGAATGACTCTGTCTCTATAGAGACAAATCAAGTTTTAGAAATTGAATTAATCAACTTGTTGCTAAAATCCCAAAGCTTTCTTCCTAAAATTCCATTTGAAGCAAATGCACTTGGTTTAAACTCATTACAATCCAAAAAGTACTTCCCAGTTACACCTTTCAAGCTTGGATGCAGTGCAACATAGCATGTTGTGGCAGCTCCCTGCAATTTCAGAATAAAAAGAAAAAAGTCACAGATTATTGCAGCTGAAGAGCTTCATTAATTAAAGTCTGTTATGTAACAGTGACAAGAGGGTGTATGGTACAATACCTGTGGGACATTCTTCCATATGAAAAAAGTGAACATCTTCAAGAAATCTGCTTTAAAAAATTGCATTATTGCCCTAGACTTTAGATAAATAAATAAGAAAAAGAACATGCAAGTGTTAGAATTTTATAGAATAGTTGACATACTCATAAGTAAAGAAGAGTGCCTCATAAGCGGAGTCATAATTACTCCGGGGTGTACTGAGTTAGCTGTGATGTTAGCACCTTCTTCCTGTTAATACTTCACATTGTTATTTAATGCAAAAGTTTGGTTACCTCTAAGAGAAATCTCGTATGATTAACTAAACAAGTTTATTGAACCCATAATAGACATAACAACTAATCTTGATTACTACTACTATCTCTCACCAACATTTCTTTATTAGTTATTAAAATCGTTTACCTTCAAGCGACGAGAAAGTTCGTTTGAGTGTAATATGTTAGCTAACTTGGATTGTCCATAAGCCTTCTTGTCAGAGTAACTGAAAAGTTTTTGGAAAATATATTGAGAGAAGAAGAAAAAATATGAATCTATAGCCTTAAAAGTTACTATATATTGACATAGTTACATACCTGTTTTGATCATTGATGTCGTCCAATCGAATTCCTTCTTCGTAAGTATAGGTATGAGCAATTGATGAGAGGTTTATGATTCTTCCCTCGATTCCGGTTGTTTTTGCAGTTTGTTTCATTTTGTCGAGTAGAAGATTTGTTAACAGAAAATGACCTGAGAAAAATGAAACCAATTAGTCTACATGAATTTTGTGGCAACTCGATATATGCATCATTGTTGAAAATTTACATACTTACCGAGATGATTTGTCGCAAATTGCATCTCAATTCCATCTTTTGATAGTTGGAAAGGGCAGAACATCACTCCAGCATTGTTTCTGAAAACGAAAACCAAAATCATAAGAGACGGAGTTCAAATTTAAATTGCAATAAAGATTGAAGACGATGAACATACATTAAGATGTTGAGAGGAAGATCAAGAGCAAGGAAATTTTCCACAAACAATCTAACAGACTTCACTGAACAAAGATCAAGCTTCATTATGTCAACTCGAGCAGATTCGTTGTCTTGGAGTATAATCTGTTTAGCTTCCTTTGCAGATTCCATGTTTCTTGCTGCAATGATGACATGCACCTTTCGAAGACTCAATACTCTTGCTGTCTCCAAACCTATACCACTCGCTCCTCCTGCATTTGCATTTGTTTAATACACCGAAATACATTAATTATTCAATATATTAAAAAAAAAAACTTTTTCATAAATAAAACCGTAGGTAATATGTTGTAAAAAAACTCGAGAATTACCTCAAAACAAACAAAAAAGGAAAAATAACACAAAGAGTGTCTCTGATACCAAAAAAAGAGTGCTAAAAGAAGCTAATTTTCAAATGTGAGAAATATATCACAATCATTTTGAAGGCTAAAAAAAAGAAAAACACGTTACATTACATGTATCATGAATAAATATTCTCATGACATTATGTAACAAAGTCAAAAAGAACAAGAGATGTTCATTAACCAACCTGTGATAATTGCAGTGAGATTTCTAGCATCAATTCCTTCCGTAACCTGTTCTGCAGTTGTAGAGGATCCGTATCCGCTGGGTCCGGACAATCCGGTAACCAATGAGAAAATACCCACCATTTTGATTTTTGAAGATATCACGCAAATCAAGAAAAAATGAAATTAATATGTGCGCTTAAATGAAGAAGAAGAAGTGGTTCGATGTGTTTATATGCATGTTAGGAAAATGTATTTATTTATATACACAAAAAAGGTAAAATAATAGAAATGAGGAAGGTATAGTATGGGGCTAGGGAAGAAAAGTGTGATAGTTTTGGAGGTAGCAGGTAGTGAATTCCCTTTATTTGTAGAAAAGATTAATGGATGCATTAAATTGTGACGGGTGAAATGCTGTTAATAACTTCAACGACCAAACTATACAACTAAACCATGAACCGTGTTTGTTGCAAGTAGGTTTAATTAGTGGAATGGACACCACGTGAATGAACTCAGTCATCCATACGTTTCTGAGTGAGATGTAACTAAATAACAATCACGCTTTTCGGAATGTTAAGACCGTTGACAATATGGAGAGATGGTTCTATAAGTATAGGGACCTGGCTCTTTTGAAATACTAGTTTTGGAAACTAATTTTGTTTTTTAGTTTTATAAAGTAAGAAACTTAAACTAGTTAAATTTGTTTTTGGCTTTGTAATTTTTAAGGGGTGTGCATTTAAAACGGTTCTTCCTATTCATAATCGTAAATTTAGTTTTGAAAATTAAAAAATCTAAAGCATTTATGTTATTAATTAACCCATTCCATTTAAGAAAAACCAATAATATTGGATATCTATTTATTGACATTCAATTCCTATTCTTGATTCAATTTACTCAAATGTTAAAATACTTGTCTTTGAATTTTCAACCAAATCAAAACCATCACTCTAAATTTCCAACAAAACTAAAACCATTCAATTTGAATAACTGGAATGACTGTTTATTTTTTTAGTACAACAGTAAATATTATTCTTAATTTTAAAAATAAACTATAACATAAATTAAATTTTATCATAAACATAAATCACTATTTTAAAATTAAAATTTCATAACACCATAATCCAAATTTCAAATATATATATATATATATATATATATATATATATATATATATATATATATATATATATATATATATATATATATATATATATATATATATATATATATATATATATATATATATATATATATATATATATATATATATATATATATATATATATATATATAACACTAAACTTACTTAATAGAAAATATTCACATAGACAACATTATTAAAAAATAAATAAAACATTAAAATTAAATCAAATCTTTTGAATGAACCATGTTTTCCATTATAGTATGCATAAATATTTCAAACCAGTTAAGAAAAAAATGATTAAAACAAAAATTAATGTAATTGATTTTTGAAAAAGAAATTCAATCTTAAAACTGAATCAAATAAAAAACTAGTAAAAATCGGTGGTGAATCGAACCAATCTAAATATACATTGGTTTTGAAAATAAAACCAATTTTATAAAACCACTTTTAGAACAAAACCAAATTATATATTTAATTTAATTCAGATTGATTTAAGAATCACTCACACCTCTAGTAATTTCTATATACCATTGAGTATATTATTAAACAAGTCTATTTGATTTTAATATTGGTTGTCGCATCAAATTTTAATCTTTTCTATATTTAGGTTCTATAATGAATTTTCTTCTCTATCTCTATACGTTTATTAATCTTAATTATGCAGATCTGTACCAAACCTCGTCAGATCTACATATTTGAGAATATACTAAACTTTCCTGGTGGGAAAGATTATTTACCAAATCATCATCCACCAGAATAAAACATATTCATATAACAAAGGTTATTCATATAACAAAGGTTGATCCGGTAGAGGTAAACAACCCAACCTAAACCTCGATGCGTTCAGTGACAGTCCTGTGTCTAATGAAGATGTTGTAGAAGATGGTGATGAACCTCTAATGTCTGTTAGAATGAGGGTATGTGTTTGTTCATTTTTTTTATAACAGAAGGGGAGCAAATTTTGACCGAGACTCACTTTTTCCTCCCTTTAAATTGGGGGATTTGGAGGAAAGGAAAGATTCATTGTTTAAAATTTTATTATATTCTTTAATTTATCCTCAATTATTTATTTTAATTTCAAAATTGTCTTTATTAAACTACTAAAAACTAAGTTGATGTTTTTCTCCGTATTTTTTCACGTTTCTTTTTTCTTCTGGTATGTTGTTGCTGTTACATGTGCATTGTTGCTCTCAGGTGAATTTTTTCTTTTTTATTTTGTTGAATTCTTCTATTTTGATTTTATGTTGTTTATACATGTAACATATAACTATAATCAGTGATTAATCGGTTGCCGTTAACTAAAAATTATGATTGCTCGATTGCTGTTAACTAAAAATTGTGATTGTTTTGATTATATTTATATATTATCAGACAAATTTCTTATTCCACGAACACTGAATATGTCACGAATTCTTTGAGAGTAATTATAAAATAAATTTCATATTCAACTTTCATATTCAAATAAAATTTATTTGAAGTAAATTTTACAAAACTTTAAATTCAATATGGTTGTTTTTTTTGTCTGCAAAAAATGATGAATTTATATGGATCACATTACAAATTGGACCTCTAATTTACCTTGGTTCAATCATGTATTATAAAGCCTGATTTGATCATAATTTAGCTTTTGATGGCGTAAGAGAAATAACATTCTCTAATACTTCTGGAAATTTTGTGAAATTGCAATGAACAGTGAGTTAAAATATTGAGAACTCATAGTGAAAGAGTTTTTATTTGGTGATATTTACTCAAAACTATTTTTATTTAGAATTGTTTTTACTAAATACGAATGATAATATTTGTAAGAATAAAAAAGTAATTTAGTTTTAAAAGCTTAGAGTGAATAATGTAACAAAATCTAAGATCACACATCCAGAATAATACTCGATTTTGCTTAAACGCTTCAACAAAGAACAATACAATCTTTGCTTAAAAGCTTAGAGTGAATAATGAACAGTCAGTCAAACTCAATGCATCAGAAGATACATGAGTGACATACAATTAACAAACGAAAACCCTAAGGACCAGCCAAAACAACGACTAATCATAATTCTCTAAATTCTTCATGATATGCTCTCTTCTTCAAATATGGTTTTTTTTCCTCTTTAAACAACCTTCAGACCTACTAGACTTGGGCTTCTTGAGGCGCACAAATAGCAGCAATCAATGTAAACTGACTGCAAATCAACCTGTATAATAATAGGAGAAAAATACAAATTTTCCTAAAAAGGCTCAAGGACCATTTTTATGAAAAGTAACAGAATCTGCAATAATAGAAATTCCCCCAATATACTCCCATGAAAGTCGCCCACATGTGCAACAGAACACACTCAAAAATCACACTAAGAATACCAAAATAGTCATGCCCTAACTATATGGTATAACATGTCCTGGAACATGTCACAACATCATGTAGAACACGATGTATGATTGACATGGCAGAACATCTAGTTCAACATGTTGCTAACAACACGTTGTTTTACCAAAATGCAACCAATCCAAAAACTACAGGACTTACAATCTCTCTGTTTGGCAAATTTTGCCTAAAACAACCTTAGGCCACATCAGAGATACATAAAGCAGAAACAAAAACACAGAAACCCAAGAACCATAATGCTTCCAAACCAATAAAGAACACTAGAAAGCATAATGTTAAGACATTAGGTCTAACATCACAAATAAACACAAGCTACATGGGAACGTGTAAGCTATGTACAGACTGCAATCTTTCAGCAGTAAAATAGACAAGTACACCATACCCCCTGTCACACATAACCAAAAAAAAACTTGAGCAAATCAAGTTCCCATAAAGATCAGTAACAGCCATCTCAGCCTCACCCCCTCTAAAGACTACATCCTACTGCAGATAATAATAACTTCTCTCAGACACAACAAATGATTCCACATCGGCAACAAGCAAGCATGACAGACTTTCATGCTCCCCCTAAAAAGTTGCACTCAGCCCAACAACAAAAACAACTACTCTTCCTAAGCAGTAGTACAAACATGACATAAAGTCATGACATCTGATCTAACATCAGAGACAGTAAACAAAACAACACCTTACTCCCCCTTTTTAGCCAAAAATTGACAAAGGGAAATAAGTAAGTGTAAACATATATAGAATCACACACATGGAAGCACAAAAGAAACAAATGCATACAACACAAGTTCAGATGGAAACACACAGAACAATTGGAAACACAAAAAGCATACAAAAAACAAATCACTTTTAGTTGATCCTCCAACTCTTGCCTCTATCAAAGATCCTTCTGCACTTCTCGAATTTGTCACCTGTCTCAGGAAGAGTGACACTGAATTTCACATCCTTAGAATTTGTCCTTCTTACACCATCATTCTTATCTTCCACGGTAGCTTGCCTAGCCCTACCAAGCATTAGATTATAGAGGAAAGATGCAATATTTATCGCATTCCTACATATATGTAATTGCTACAATTCTTCAACTATGCAAATTCCAAGTTTTCCTCTTAATTTCTCAAATTGGTTTGCATCCAAAACTTTAGTGAAAATATCAGCTAGTTGCTTCTCAGTGGCTACATGCTCAAGATTAATCACTTTTTCTTCAACAAGATCTCTAAAAAAGTGATGTCGAATGTCAATATGCTTTGTCCTACTATGTTGAACATGATTCTTGGATATGTTGATAGCACTAAAATTTTCACAGTACAATGTCATGACATCTTGCTTGATATTATACTCCTTCAAGATCTGCTTCATCCAAAGTAGTTGAGAACAACTGCTTCCTGCTGCAATATACTTAGCCTCAGCAGTGGAAAAAGACACAATTTTGGTTCTTACTGAATCAAGAAATCAGGTTGTTTCCCATGAAGAAACATCATCTAGAGGTGTTTTTCCTATCATCAGCACTACCTGCCCAATCAGCATCACAATATCCAACCAGCATGACATCAACAACATGTGATTACAGCATTCCATAGTCACTAGTACCGTTTACATACTTAAAAATCCTCTTTACTT